GGACAGTTCTACCTGGATGGTTTTAAGGAAACGGAGATTGGCTATCCTATATGGTGCTCCTCTATTTGCAGTGAGGTAAATGACAGGAATACTACCTATTATGAATTTATCATTTTATTTTTCTTGCACTTGAGTGTGGTTTTATGACTCTTCATCTTTTATGTGTCTGTTTTAAAATATAAGTATATACCTGAATAATGTTTAATACTGTTACTGTTCTTTCAACCTTTTCACCCCCAAAATCTTCGTTTGGTAATTCCCATTACTTTCTGCCATACAGTTCGTATGATATTAGTTTGGAGAATTTGGTATTGGATCAACTAATAATCCCCAAGTTGATATTTTTCTTTGTTCTCATCACTTGTCTGCTCGATATTGTATTGATATAGTATAGAGAATTACAGGTCGGAGTAAAAGTGTCAGAGATTAACTCTTTAACTACCAAGATTTCATTAGTAATTCTCCTAACTGTCTGCCATACAGTTCTTGTTATGTTAAAGTTTGGAGAATTTGGTATTGGATCAACTTATAATCTCCTAACTGATATTTGTCTTTATTCTCATCTCTTGTCTAATTGATATTGTAGTGATATTGTAAGGAGAAATTCTCTCTTGGTCATTCATAGGAGTTAAAGGGATAATAGATAAAAATAGTTCATATTAAATGGTATGTCTCATATTAATATTATTATATTCAATCCTTATAAGGTGCCAAATTTTTACTAAATTTTATCACTGTATATTTTGTATAGCTTCTTAACCCCTTGGTTTCCATGGACTTGGCTTGGTTTAACTGGTGACTGGGTTGTTGGACTTCATCTAATGACTTCACTGTGCTTATATGATGGCATGTTCACATTTGGTATGTAGAAACTGTCGGTAAAAGTTCCTTCAATCCTGTATGTACAAAAACTCTGCTACCTTGAAATCCCAAGGGAAACAAATACATGCTTCAAGTTTGCTGTGGTTTGAGTTATGTGGATTGGTGTTAAATTTTAATTACAGCTCCTGATATTAATCAATAAGCAATCATTTTTATACCATTCTTGCACAATCCACAGTCATTTTCATAATTATATCAAGTTTGTTTCATAAGTCAGAGCCCTTTCATAATAAAATTTAGTGTGGGAAATTTATATAAATGTGTTTCATTTTCATCTTTTAATGTCATCACATTCTTATTAATCACAGTTTAAGGTTGAGATGTTGATCATATATGTTCTGACATTCCTCAACCAATATTTTTTAATTAAAGTTCCAGTTATCAGCTGAGGGTAAACTGGAGCAAAGGCAAAATAAAATTAGTTTGAGTGAAAGATTCCTTTCTCACATTTAAGACTATTCTAATCAAAGAGCACAATCTGCTATTTGCTTTGTAACATCACACTAGCATTACCATTAGACTCCAATGCTCTGCGCAGGAATCTATTGTCAGAAACAATGACATACACTTGGTGATATTGTTTGGTGATGACGTCAATCACTGCATTACTAAGCTAACACATAATAATGTTTTTTTTATTCTTTTTTTTTTCTCCTTCCTTGTTTTTACATGTAGTATTACTTGCCCAGTGTGCTCTTTTTGCTGAGATTTCAACTCAACAAGAGGAAAGACAGACAACTCTCAAATATGCGTAAGGAACTAAATTCTAAATGAATATACTATTGTGTAAAATAGGATAATACAGTATGTGTTATAATGTCATGTAAGTCATAAATACCATGTACACTGCAGTTGGGTCCTTTTTAGTTTAATAATTACACAAAGTTGTTTTTTTTCTTTATAGAGATATTATTAGTCAGAGTACTTTTTTGGATTGGGTAAGCTTTGTTCACCTACATGTATGTGCTTAAAATGAATCTAGAGTAAATATTTGTTCTCTTTATGTTCCAGACAAGTGGCATCTATTATTGGCTCAACAGCTCTTTTAGTCAGTACAAATGTTTATCAGAATGAGGTAGAGTACCAAGTAAACTTCTTGCTTGATTATATAATTGTCTTAAGGAAAAGGAACCTGGAAAAATGTTTAGGGAGCAAATTTTACAAACAACTAAAGTCCACAATTATGTGATTTTGATAAGCTTCATTTGATACAAAATTTTATCTTTTAATCTACTTCTTGTAATTGAATATTAAGTGTTTTGTGAGCTGTATCTATAATTTAAGTTAGTTTTTTAATTCAATATTTATTACATAAATAGTTATTGTAAAAAAAGAGTAAACCTCTTGCATCATACAGTAGCTGTTACATTGTAGCTTTAAGATCTCCAACAATACTTATGTGTGTTATAGAATAAGAAAGATCATGGAGCTTGGTAAAAGCACTATTCACCTGTGAGTAGTTGTATAATTATGCTAACAAGATAAAATCATGATCAAACTCTCCAAAACTACAGTTCACATTTGACACATTTGAAGAGGGCTTTGACCCTTATTCAAACCATGATTTATTGCCTAATATTTGCTATACTACTTAAATTGTCTTCATGATGAAAATAATGATTCTCTAAGATTTATAATTTTAGTTACAACAACAGTCATGACAATTTCTTTTCTTTTTTTTTAAATTTTACAGCAAAATAATTTCAAGTCATTCCAAGCAGTGTGCATTATAGTTGCTTTTCTTAGTTGGTTACTGATGAGGTACACTGGTATGAATGTTGAAGTGGCTGTGGATGCAAGTGCGTCTGGCAGTGGAGGAAATCAAGGTATTTTTTATCCCTTTGACCCCCTACGAGTAAGTAGCTGCTAGTTTCTCCATACAATATCACCTCTGAATCAAAAAGTAAGTTCACGAGAATAAAGTAAATGATCACCAACTAAAGAAGCTTTTGATTGATAGACAGATTCTCCTAGTCAGCTCCTTTGCAAATGTATAGAGATCAGTGAGGAGAATATGCATACTGATGTTGGGGTGTGAAGGGGTAAAGAATTTTCATATGAAAGATACTGCATACAAATTGATACTCTTGTATGTAACTAAAAGGATTATTTTCAACCTGGAGAGATTTTTCATCATAAGATGGTTGTGAGTTGCAGAGATGTCACCTAATTTACAGAGCAAATTGATTTCCTCATACCTCAAAGTTGTAGGAACACAATAATAGGATCATTGCAACATCAGTTGTTATGGGTAACATGTCTAATACAAGTGTATGTATGGGTAGAGTGACGAGTTGAGCATACCTTACAAATAAGAACTTGTCACACTTAACCCTTAACACTTTAACATCAGTATGCATTTTCTCCATAGTGTTCTTTACACATTTCCTAAGTTGCTAACAAGGAGAACTTGTTTAACAATCAAGAGCTTCTTTAGTTGTTGATCATTTCCTTTATTCATGTGACCTTGATGTGTGGCTCAGGAGTCATACTGTAGGAAAAAATTAGATGCAAGTCACACTTAGGGGTTAAAGGATTGAGCAAACTGTTATTGTGAGAGGAATTAATTTAATTTTGATTGAGTATTGAAAACTGATCAGAACTGAGGGACAAAACATTAGGGGTGAATGAAAACTACAAGTACAAAGCAAGTAAACTGAATGAAATAGGAAAACAAGGTTGACCATGGTGTTATTGAGTTTGGTTTTGCATTTGATTGGTTGATAAATTGTGCAAGTTTTCTGGACCAATCATAGAGCAAAGGAAGAGCAAATACAAAGCAATCCCAGAATGCTTTGGACACTCAATTGAAAATGTCTCTTTTCTTCCCTATCAACTCCTAAGCTTACAACTACTACTGGAGGGTCAGAATTTATTTTGTGGGGCATCAAACTGATCTTTCACTTTTGACCTCACATCTCATGAGAATCCTGTCTTGCCACTGAATTAGACCTGCATAACTAAAGAGTAACTAAAGGATGTGATAATTTTAGATATTAATGTTACTGTGGTGTTCATTTAATCTTTCAGATGGAAAGACTTCAAAGGAGTCACTTCCTCTCTTTACACTCTTAAAGCAAATACTAACGCAAAGAAGCTTTGGTAATTATTACCATTTCATAGTTTATAAGGTTAAAGAAATTAGTATCACAAATATAATTAGAGAAAAGTGATGGTGAAATAAAATATTTCCCTTGATTTATGTAAACAGTGACATTTGCATTTATTTTGCAGTTTGCTTTGTGGCCATGAATTTTTTCCAGGTAATCTGAATGTTATTTTTTTAAATACATATTCCAATAATCAATAATCAAATTGACACCATAAAGAATGTGCAAACTTATCATATAATCATAGTCTTTGTAGCCTGGGATCATCTGATAAGTATATAATTTATTCTTAATGCATTTTCATCAAGAAAAGTAATTAATGTTTATCTCTTTAACTCCCAACATCTGATTGTTAAATAAATTTTTCCTTTTAGCTGCTACACATTTCCTTGTAAATTAGTTACATGAATTTGGTGTTAGATACCAATTAAGATTACAACTTGTATTTGATACATTTGAGTATTCTTATGTCCTGTTTGCTGGATAATGTACAGAGATTATAGGGAGAAGTTACATGTTAATCACTTGTGGGAGGTGAAGGATTCAGACTTTAGTAGTGAATCCTATCATGCTATGAACTATTGTATATTTCAATACTTTAAATTTAGAATTAATAGTCAATATTTTGACCCAGTCACCACCAAATCATTTTTTGTGGTAAAAGAATAATACTTTTACATACATACTTTAATAATAATACATAATACATACTTTTTCCTCATCAGGTTTTCCATGTGACATTTTGTAGCAACTTCTTTCTCATTTTTGCGGAGCACCTTATAGGACCTGGTGTTATTCCAGCTGTAAGCTTCTGCCTTTTGACTGATTTATAATAGAATGATCTCTTGAATGTGAAATAGATTACTAACCATTGATGTCAATGTTGTGAAAAAATGTTCATATTAATTTTATTACATGGTAATTGGTAAGACACTAGTAAACAGTTTAAGCATTCAGGATTCTATTAAGCTACAGTTTTGAATTTTTTCAGTATGGTTCCTCCTTACAACAGATTTATTGAATACTTTTTTTAAAATTACATCAATCAAATGAATATGGTTTTGATGTACCCTTTATAATGAAGCATATGATAATCATAATATTATGATTTAAAGCTCTATGTTACCTTTTAAAAACTAGGATACCAAAAACATTGAAAAATAATGACTAAGGAAGACATTTTTTCTTGAAATTAAAAAAACCAACACATTCATATTACATATATAGATGAAAAAAACAATCATAACACTATAAGCTCATGACATGTATGCCCTTTGTGGCCAGAGGCCAATAAATATTATTCATGTGTAAAGTGATTGTGCTTTTTATTTTGACAATGTTTCATTTTCAGGTCCTGTACAGTTTATTAACTGGGTCTGTATTCTTGGTACCCAGGGTAGGTATCAACTCTCAATTTTGTTTTCTTAGTTTATCTTCTTCAATGATGGGAAGAGGTTTCTTATAGGGTTGATAAACTCACCATTCATAAAGAGAAGCTCTCTCTTCTATTCTTCATGTCTAGTGTTCTTCTACAGCCAAACCCCCCCCCCTCTTTGTTTTGTGTAATGATAATGAGGGCAGCAAAGATGTTTTCAGTTCCAAGAATTTTCAGGCATCTTTTGTACTTTAGATAGCATTTCATGTGTCACAAATGTTATTAGAGATGTATGTAGATCACAAGGAGAATTGATTTTGAAATCTTAGGGGTTACAAGGTCTAAGGTGATATTTGGAGTCCTGGAAAAATCAAGCTGAGTCCTGGAAACATCCTTGAAATTTGTTACTGAAAAAGGGAACAAACCCTATAGTATGCAGTACAAGAAAAAGAGGCTTTTAAGCTTTACTCCTCCCCATTTGTCTGATAAATGATTAGTTTTTAAACTGTTTTAGCAAATATGATGTCCTTACTTCAATTAAAAATTATTACAAATTTTTTCATCAGCTGCTTGTGTTATTAACAAGTCCATTATTAGCTAAGTTTGGCTCCTACAAGGTCATTTTGTGGTCATTCTATGTCAAGGTAAGAAAATTATATGTATTTCTTGTACATACTACCATTTTTTTTAAATTTGTTAATCATAATTTATTATGAACCAACAAAATGACCAGTTCTCAGTCAGCTTGTTAACATAGTCAGGCTTTATTTTTACTCCTGCTTATTAAGTAGTGTTAACTACTGCAATGATGGCTTTTATTCGTTTCTTGATCTGTTGTTCTCATACAATGAATATGATTTTCATAGATTCACAGTCATTATAATAGCCTGTTGAGAAAGGCAAACATGTGCTCTGATTCAATGTTTCTAGTTTAAAATGCAGCCTGTTTGCATGGACATTCTTTGACCCTTTACACCCTAACATCAGTATACACATTCTCCATACTGTTCTCCATAAATTTCCTAAGGTGCTGACATGGAGAATTTGCTAGTCACGTTAAGGGTAGAAGGTTTTCATTTATTTAGCAACTTCAAATGAGATATGGAAGTAAACCATGTATATTAAATAATCATTGATGATGTGATCATTACTTTTTTTGTATTGTTAGTGAAGAGTATTCAGTAAGCATAGGCTAGTTTTATATATTTATAATAAATTGTTTTTTCCAAAGTACACCTAAGATCAACATTTATTTCAGTGAAAACAGCTAACAATTTTTTCCTTAACCTATTTACAGTTGTCACTGCCTGTAGTTGTATTTTTGGCTGGAAGGAGTAACATTTGGGCTCTTTACTTCTTTCTTATCATAGACAAGTAAGTTTTTATATCTAATGAAAATAAACTTTGATATTGGTTGTACGTATATCTGATAAAGGGGGAAAGCTATTAATTAAAAGAAACTTTAGTGCTGCATTAGTTTGGATATTTCCAGTTGATGTGGTTTTATTAACCACCATAAATATTTTTTTAAAGCATGAGTCTTTCTGACATTAGCAACTCTAACAAAGGGCCAATGCTTGAAACTTCAGCTTTAGAAACTCATTATGGTGGCCAATTTACATCATCAACTCTGGTGACAAGACAAAATTATTTTGGATGTATATGTTGTGATTCAATGTTATCCTTGGTTCAAATGCGAGCTCCGCTTTTAGGTTTGGCTAAATCTATATATTATTTTCTTTTGTTTTTGGGTATTGTAATGTATGATAATGAGTTTGAAACAAAGGAAAATAAAATTTGAACCAAGGATAAAATTGAACCAGAACATATATGTACATATCATTAATTTTGTTCATTACTTACACGCTTATTCTTAAATTAATATTGATCAATTATTATTGGGTAGTAAAAAATATTTAATTGATGAGTGGAATTATTTTGTTGGGTATTGTGGAATAATTGTGTCATAAGGCTGAGAGTTTGGTTCAAGGGTTTGCTATTAATTTGAGGGAAATTAATCATGATAAGCCAGCTCTCACAGTTTGTGTGTTGATTTCAGCTCTCTCCCTGATGCCACATTCTCATTGTTCAATCTATCTGTTTCTGACATAATTGATGCTGATATGGAAAAATACCAGAGAAAGTGAGTAAAGGACCTGTAGTTTGGGTTAAAAAAAAAAAAAAAAGGTTAAGTCTGCACTCTAGCCAAGTGGCCCATGCAGCTGGAGCTTGATCGCCAGGTTTTTATAGTATGAAGCAACCAAGGAGTATTGGTACTCTCTCCTGGATGGGATACTAGTCCATCGCATGGTTACCCTCCAGCATTTCATTGCACTTCCCTTACAATTTGTCAGGACCCATGTATGCTCCTAGGTAGACAGAGGCATTGTGACATTATTTGATTGAATGATAGTATATTTGGTTTCTGGTTTTCATCAGTAACATACTTTCCCCCCTTGTTCTTAAAGTGCACCTGTGTCCTCTATGATATTCGGTACCAATGCTCTCTTTACCAAGCCAGCACAGTCTCTAGCTCCAATGATGGTGGTACACATACTCTCCTGGTATGGATACAAGGTAAGATGCATTTTTCTTTTTGGAAGGTTTTTCAACAAGTCACAAATTTTAACTCTGTGGCATCAAGGCTCCTGATGACATGGATGGTCTAAACACTGGAAAAGAGAACTTTTGTCAATGCTACTGTACTAAAATTTCTTGCAACACTGCAAATCCCAGACTAGTATCCAAATATTGGTAATTGTGAAGAAAAGCTCCCTGGAAAAACCTGTCGGCTGACAGGTTACCAACAGGCCACTATCAAAAAACTTTGATGAAATTATGGTGAACTTAGTGTGCATTCAATTAATCTTTCTTTAAATGAGTTCCTGTTGCAATCTCTTGAATGACAAAGTGCTCAGGCGGTTAACAGTCATCTGACTGTCAGCTGACTGTCAGCTAACATGTCTTTTCAGGTAGTTATTTATCACAATTATTCATTTAAATGATTGATACTTGAATGTCTTGTTCCGAGAATTTCATTGGACTACAACGCGTGGCAACTTTTACTTGGTTGTTATTTTTGTACATTTGTTTTTGGCCATTTTGGCACTGTTAAATAATATATTTGTTGATCATTTGTTTGTTTCCAACTATCTTTGTAGGATACCCAAGGCAATAGTAAAGTCTCTTCAGGTAACAAGTACATGAATTTTTGAAGCCCAGTTCATACTAGTTACTTTTAATTTATGCTTGTTATTTATTCTTTGAATTAAATGACCTAAAGTATCACTCTGAGGTTAATGTCAGTGACAAGAGCTGGAACTTGAAAATGTGTTTTTGAGTAAGAGGTGAAAATTTTCCCAAAGTATCACCTTTTCATGTTTCAATTCTCTATTATTTTCTCTGTTTTGTAAAATTTGAATCCCAGCAAGAAGTTGAGGCATAACATGCTTGATGTAACTACCAACAACTTGGGTTACAACCTCTTTTTGTTGAATCATAATGGTTATTGGAAGCTTTCCAACAACATTTCATTTTGTTTGGATCAGTTCTTTAAACTCAACTCACATTTAATTTCACACATCAGTTACCAATCATTTTCTTGGTTTTTTTTTCAGGGTCACCAGGGCAACTTTTAGATGCTATGTTTTTCCTTTTGTGTATCATTCCTCTCATAATTGCTATGGTTCAAATTGTGGTGTGGGCCTTCTACCCTCTTAAGAGACCAAAAAAGGCTCAGGACATATCCAAGATTCTGTTATAAATACTTCTTACTAACTGAGTTCCATACTGTAAGTTACAGAGTGACCAAGTTTTTTTCCTCTAAGAGTTATGTCCCAAGCACAAAGTGCACAGGCCATAAATTAAAACAGAAAAATAGGGTTCCAAACTTGTGGTACAGACCAAGAAAGCAGTTTGGCAAAATATATAATATATCTCTGGGTTCAAATAAAGGGGATAGATTTAGATTCAAACAAACTTTATAGTATGAAAGAGTCTTGTTTGTTAACCTTTGGGGTACAGGTACATAATCCTTGTGTCTTAACCCCTTTCCTGTCCATATGATGTACCAAGTGCATCACACAATTTGCAGTTTGCACACCTATGTGACATACTCAGTATGTTGAGAGTTAGTAACAGTGAATTTCCCAGCACTGGAGATGTAAAGTAACCTGGAGTTTCAAACACAAACAAGTAAGAACTCTGAAAACAAATAAGTAAATTTGCATCGGCACAGGACTTCTTAGTGGGGTTTGGCTGCAAAGGGGTTTAAAGACTAGTTTTTGAGAGGGTTTTTCACTTATTTTTGTAGAAACTCAAATTTGTGTATTTCAAGATTCAGGAAATTTAGGAAGAAATGTTTATACTTTATATGTCCCTAAATATTTAGCTACTTAGGGATTAAGGAAAAGAAGAAGGAAAAAAAGCTAGAAGGAAAAAAAGTACTAAGTTCTTAATGATAGTCTGGAACAGGTTTTATTGAAAATAGGCCATGATATTCCATGAGTATTTAACATGTAATATTGGGCCAAAATGGAGAGATACATTCATTCTATTAATATAAATATCACATGATGAGGAAGGGAATTAATCCAAAAGTTTTCAATTGTAATTAAGAGTAGTATTTTTTCCTGAGGTACAATGTTGTAGTGAAAAGATCCACACTGTAAAAAGAGCAAGTTATTGAATTATTCCATGTTAATAGAAAACACGAAGAGAATTAAAAGGGATAAGGTAATGAGCTGAAGAACATAAATTATAGTAGAGTTTGTTTGAATAAAATTGTCAATCGAGAATGGCAAACAGTTGATGTATTTTTCCCCTTGTGTTTTATCTGTTAGTGTTGCATTAATCCTCATAGACAATGTAAAGTATTTTGCTCTAGACAAATTAATTCAGCCAAAAAAAAAAATTGACTTTAGTGCGCCTCACTCTGAGAGATCCACAAAGCACATTAACATTACTTATTTAATTTTTTTTTTTTTTTTAACTCGCAAGTCAAAGATGCCCCTTATATACTTTGACTCTAAGCTCTGTGCTCATGTCTTCAAAATGTTACTCATACTCTACAAAGGTTACTCACGAAATGGTAAAGGTTTTGACTGGCTGCTGGACACTTTATGTATCTGGTGACTTCATTACCAAGGCTTGACTCAGTTATGATCATTACTTTCCAAGGCTAGATTAATTACTTTGGGATTATGACTGATCTCATCAAGTATGCAATGCACTGTTCCAATTTCTGTTGCAAAACTGTGTTTGGCCACTTTACAACCTTAAAAGCTGATCATACTCTATCATGTTATCATCATCTCGGAAAAAGCTGATTTAATACCATGATGAATTTAAATTTAAAATCTCCTTCTGAACACTCCATTACTACTCTGGCCCTGGGTATGGTGTAAAAAAATAATAAAATGCCATTCTAGTTAATGGTAGCACTGATGGTATTCAAACTATTGAGTTCATTGTTTTTGAAACCCTACTCAAGGAGCTAAGTGTATATGAAGAATGCACGTGTGAGTTGAATGTCTTTTATTTGTTTTGTTAGAATAAAGACACTGTTTTGGTTTTACTCCGACATTTTGGTATCAGAAGGAGGAGTTTTCCAATATACCTCTTAAGGAAACTAAAAAAGGTATAATACTTCTACCAAGGATGAGGAAGCTACCTGAACACATTTTTTCATGTCTTACATCAACCCTTGACACCCTAACATCAGTATGCATATTCTCCATACTGTTATTCATGGATTTCCTAAGGTACTGACTAGGAGAATTTGTTTAACAATCAAGAGCTTGTTAATTTGGTGATCTTTTTCTTCATTCTCATGACCTTAATGAGTGATTCAGGGGTGATATTGAAAGGAGAAAATAGATGCTAGTCACTCTTAAGGGTCAAAGGGTTAATGGCTGACACACTTATCAGTATTTATCTTGGAGCTTGCAAAGTGTTGAAGACTGCACATAGCATGGCACTGTACTCAAAATTACAATATGTTAACTATTTAATTCCCAAGATCTGATTAATTATCCCCTCAAACTGCTAAACATTTCCTTGTAAATTAGTAGAAAAATTTTGGTGTTTGATCAAAATGGCAACTTCTACCCGATAAGTTGGAGTAATTTCATTACCTGTTTACTAGAGAATGTATGGATATTATAAGGAGAAGCTACCTGTCAATCACTTCCAAGAGTTGAAGGGTGAAACTTTCTTGAGGGATATAGCTGTGCAATCTACACCTCAACCATAACCATGGGTCATAAATAAGATTTTAAACATGGCAAAATTTGTAAGTAACACTGAATAATAACCTCACTACTACAGACATCAGCTGAAGATTTGGGCAAGATGCGACAGTTTAACCTTCAACCTCAATACCCAATATCATCAGCATAAAAATTAATAAAATTGACATTCTACAAAAAAGATACACAAGCCTACTAGACCCTATGTGTACAACTCAAAGTCAATACGTTTTGAATTATAAAATGGTCCACTGTCTTCCCCAACTTTTCGCACCCAGACTCCATCGCCAAAACACCCTTGATCATTCCAAATTAACATGTATGTTGATGAATATGGTCCGTAAACAGTAGCATCTTTTGTATTTTCCCATTTGTAATGCCAATAAACCTCATCTTCATTTGCTGATTCTGCTTTGATGTCATCAGAACTCTCGGTCTCCATGACTGTGTCCTCATCCTCTCCTCCCCCTTGTCTAAAAGCAGCCTCCAGAGCATCATCTTCCTCGGCTTCCTGTTGTTTTTCTTGCATAGTTTTGACTTTGTGAGCCAATTTTTCAAGTGTATCTTGATAAATACCAAAGTAACCCTTCTGAAGCAGTTGATCTGCTAGTTCCGTGAGTTTTAAAAGTTTCTGTTTGTCTTCCTCGGAAGTTGAACCCTCGTTCTCCGTAGCCTTCGGCTTCTTCGATTTTGGTTGCCAACGTGCACTTGCAGACGAGTTGCGACCACTTTCTTTTCCACCGAGACGTCTGAGAGCTTTTAAGACGGTCTCACCGGGCAAAAGCATATCTATAATATCTTTTATTGCTTGAATATGATCACTTGGTTCGTCGGCATCTTCAAAGATACCATTATCACCATCACTAACATTCTGAAGCTTGTCACCCTGTTCTTTGATTTTGACCCAGTCCAGCGAATCTAGCCATTCATCTCGAATAACTTCCTCTTTTTTCTCAAAGTAGTTTCCCTCTGCGTCGAAGTGGCCCTCTTCCATTTCTTCCTTTAAATTAAACGGCGTTATCTTGATTCCTTCGTCGTAATCGATCGTAGCGTCCTCTTGTCCTTCCAAATCCTCCTCGCGCAAAACATACTTCTCATCATCTTTGCCTCCATCGTTGTCATCACCTTCTTCGTCACTGTCCAGAGAGTGCGCTTTGATTCTTGCTGGGGTAGATTCTACCAGAATCTCCTCGCTCTCTTTATCAGCAAACTGCACTTTACGTTTCGACATTTTGCTTGCGAAAGAGAAAGAAAAATGGCGGAAGTGCATATTATTATCCAGACCTCCGCAGGCCGCTTTGTTTGGTCACGTGCCCTTCGGCCTAAGGGCACGTGATGGCCCAAGAAATGAAAAAATTTACTGATGTCGATAGGACAGGAGTATAATATGCCGAAAATTAACTTTTCATTTTGATGTAAGTCTTCTTAGGAATTCTTTAAAATTAGTTTCATCTTTCAGCATATTTTTTAACCAGAATAGAGAGATAATGGCGGAATCGTCCCTTCTGAAGACGAACTTCAATTGCTTTGTTTATGTGACATTCAGTGATGCAGATAGCTACTAATGACTAGATGATTACTGGACGGGAAGATCTGCCATACACCGAGAATTTTGGGGTTGAAGTTGCTCGTCGTTAACGAAGTTGCGAATTCAATATGGCAACCGGAAGTTGGAGTCACCCTCCTCGGCCATTTGATGATGTAGATGTGGAAGCGATCGATACACTGTCCCTTGACTTTGGACGTTTTGAAAGAGTTAACAGATGGAAAGGAATGCCGGAATGTGACGAATTTGTTGGAGCAAGGTATCAATTAGAGGGCATATGAAGAGAATTTTGAGATAAATGGCAATGGGACCCCCCATCCCCTCCCCTCCCTCCGGCCATTATGGAAGGCAACTCTCGGCATATGGTCGTTTGGAATTTTCTTTTCAAAGGAGCTTAAAACAGTACCCCTTTTTGATACCTAGAAGACTGGAAATTACAGTTCAGATTTAAAATTTTTTCAATAGAGTGTACCTATATCTCCCCCACTGCCCCTTAGGGAAAAAGGACCCTCTTCCAGGGGAAACTGCTGGTTACCCCATCAGCAGGCACTTATAGAAAAAGTCAATGAAACCCCTGCTTTCAATAACTTTTTCATGAATTTCTACATGCAAGATACTTTGTTTCACTTTCTAGACGAAGCAAACATACTCTTGTTGCCTGGAATGATGCATTGTATGTTTTTGGTGGTGACAATGGGTAGGTAAATATTTTTTTATTATTATGTCTATTTAATTATGTATTCATTCCATTTTATTAACCTGCAATTTTTTGTTGCTGTTAATAAATTTTAGGGTTCACCATAAATCTTGATGTAATTCTGTCTAATTTACAGAAAGAGAATGTTAAATGACATATTGCGATTTGACATCAAAGACAACTCATGGAGCAGGTAAACTGGAGTATTCAAATTGACCAATAATCTATCCTGATTGACTGTTTTAGGTTAATGTCAACATGATAGGGTGCCATTTGGAAAAATCTTCCTAGTGCATGCTACTTCAAAAGGAACCATGGAAACGTATATGCCACTGCAAAGCTTATTAAGTATATATATTCTGAAAGTTGACACTCTTTCTCTTGGCAGGCATGCAGAAGCCTTTTAACACAAAAATTGTTTTAAAGGTTTTTCAGTTTTTTTCTACCAATAAAATAAACTGCTTTCTCTAACTTAAAAGTGAAAAAACCCCATTATTTTGAAATTTGTTACAGATTTCATTGGAAGTAATCTTTCAAAACAAGCGGACATATAAACATGATGTTATATTTTCCATGATTTAAAACCTAACAAGGTCTATTTATACTATTCAGAGCAGTAACCAAAGGAACTCCACCAGCACCTCGCTATCACCACTCAGCTGTGATATTTGGATCCCACATGCTGGTGTTTGGAGGGTTTACAGGTTATATTTTGTTATCATTGAGTAACAGGTAGTTTTTGGTTGGTCGTCATTTAGACAATTGGTTTAGTGCCATCCTCTCAATGAACGTTTTACACCTTAAGTAACATCAGTATGCACATTCTCCATACTGTTCTTTTACATATCTCTCAATGTGCTGATAAGGAGAATTTGTTTACTAATCCAAAGTTTCCTTCCCTGGTGACCATTACCTTTATTCTCATGACCTTAATGTGTGATTCAGGAGTGATATTGTAGGGAGAAATTAGATGCTAGTTGTTCTCAGGGTTTTAAAGGGTTCCACATGTGCTAAACTAAAACCAAACATTTGCTCTGATGAAGGGCTAATGCTTGAAAAGTCAGCCTTAAAACTCTCTACAGTGGCCAATTTATGTAGTTAACTTGGTTGATAATTCTTAAGTACCCCTGTTTAAACCAAGCATAACTTGTTCACCCACTCTCTTTGCTGTTTTCCTTACTTTTAGGTCTCAGTGGCTAATTATGATATTGACCTTGGTTTTGATTGGCTGTTTAACATTGTGATAACTCTGAGTTTGGTATTTTAACCTTCAATTGAAAACTGCTCTGATTTATCAACTAACAAATAAATTCCATGTTGTTGTGCATCTGTTCAGTAAAAGCAAAAAAGTGGTACACAAGGCCCTGTCTAAGTGTCACTGAAGTTCTTGACCCTTTAGCCCCTAAGAGTGAATAGCACATAATTTCTCCTTACTATATCAACCCTGAATCAAACACAAAAGTCATGAGAATAGAGGAGATGATCATCAACTTAAGCAGCTCTTGATTGTTAAACAAATTCTCCTTGTCAGCCTCTTTGGAAATGTATGGAGAACAGTATAGAGAATATGCATACTGATCTTAGGATGTAAAGGTTTAACTCTTACCTCTTCGATGATCTATTACTATACAGACCCACAACAACATAGAATACATTTTTTTTGTATGATAACCAAGCAAATTGTTCTCAGTTACAATGCCATCTAAAGTATGCATCTGTCCTCCAATAGATCATAAGATCTTAATAAAAAACCAATCAAAATGAATCCATAATTCAGCTTATCATACTTATGAGAGTGTTACCCACAAGATTTTTTCAGAGCTCAGGAATACTGAATTTTTCAATGTTAATGTTTGTTGAAGGTGACCTTTACTCAAATTCTAACCTACAAAACAAGAATGACCTATTTGAATACAAATTCAGTACTGGGCAGTGGTCAGAGTGGCGCTTAGATGGAAGGTTTGTGATGTTATATTTTAAGTCATGCTTGATCTTATCCTCAAAATTCATGGACCAAAGAATACTTGGTTTGTATATTAGTCTTAGAGTTTGAATTTTCAAAAGTCAACATTGAACAAAATACCTCTGGAAAAGAGGCTTGTGAAAGTGAATTGGCAAAATGAGGAGTTTATATCCTAGAGTTCAGTTTTGGAGTCTATTTTTTGTACTGAATTATTAAGATATTGACATTGGATGATTTCAACAAGTTAAGAATAAGTTTTTGGATCTAAGGCAGAGGTTTTACCGCAAAGTTTAGATTCTTAGGGCAGAGGCATTTAGGAACTGGAATCAGGAAAAATTATTGAAAGCAACCACTTAATCCATGGCCTCAAAGTCTGGCTTTACCACCACTGCTTGCTAGTCAAATTCAGCAAATATTGCTGTATATTTGTAACCCACTTTCCTCCATTCACGCAACTTTTAAAATTTCCTTGTCATTTTAAATATGTTTAATGATTTTTTCCTCATTAGATTGCCTCCTGCAAGATCTGCACATGGTGCAGCAATCTATAAGAACAACTTGTGGATCTTTGCTGGTTATGATGGCAACAAAAGGTTCTTATCTGGTCATGTTAATATTACTGAATGTCTCTTGAAAAAAAAAAAAAAAAAAAAAAAGAAACAGTGGCAAGTCCTCTCAGGCACGTCTCCTATATTGGAATTGACAACAAAAGTCTAGTATTTAGGTCTAAAGGTACTGCACAGTGGTAAATGATTTGATATGGAATTATGTATATTTCATTTTAGGTTAGATGATCTTTGGACCATTTGTTTGACAGATCCTAACCCAGTGTGGCAGGAGGTTGGTGATCTGTTTTTGTACTGTACCAGCTGTGTAGATATTTGTATCACTGTAGGTGGAAAACAATTGAAGGCAGTTTTACCAGGAGTGAAACCTGTAAAGCAACCACACCTGTCCACCAGAAAAAGAAGGAAGTATCTCAAATGGCCAATGAAGATGCTATTATAGCATATCATGGGTGGCAATCATGAATGAGGACTTCATTAATGCAGAGCTCTCAAGTTGATTTGTCATCAAAGGGGAAATTTTTTCAGTTGCATAGCCTTTGATTGTGATGCTGGGGGCATTACTTCCTTGAGGGGTATGGGGGCATACTCCCTCAGAGAAAAAATAAAGTTGCTAAGACATGCAGTCATTTATTCTGAGCAATAATTTCCATCACTGTAAATTGTTTGAAGTGAGTACAAAGGGAAGAAGTTGTAAATTACAATTAGAAGGGTAATTAATTTTATAGTTACATAATTAAAGTAGAAGTTTGCTATCTCAAAATCAAAAGTTTAAATCAGGAACCTTAAATGTGTGAGAACAACTAGTTTCAGCATGAAAGTGTAAGACTGAATTCATTTGTATGAGTATACTACTTTAAAATGTGTGAGACTTCAGATCTTTGTGATTGGTTACTTTTACATCTGATTGCTGGAGAGGGTGGCAGAATATTTTTAGACCAATCAAAAGGTGCAATGAAGCAAAACCAATGCAGTCCTGGGTTACTATCAACATTGCATTGAAACATACTCTGAACCTCTTCAATCTTCAGGTGCAGCAATCGGGTGACAGGCCACCCACATGCTGTAACTTTCCTTTAGCTGTTGTGAGGGACAGTATGTTTGTGTTCTCTGGTCAAAGTGGAGCAAAGATTACAAATGACATGTTTGAGTTCAGTTTCTTGGATCATAGGTAATAGTGGAAAGTTTTGAAGTTTGAAATATTCCTACTAGAAACAATTTAAAATTTGTGACGGAAGATGTGACAAGTGGTGAGTGGAGAGAGAGCCATAACTTAATTTGATCAGAATTTCTTGTCAGCTTTACTGTTTTTTGGCAGTATATCATTTTGAAAAGGGATTCTTGGTCATGCTGGGTTTGAATATGTGTAGAAAAAAGGGTCAAAGTTTTAATCAATTTTGGAATAAAAACAATTTGGCTCAGATTAAATTTGAACTATAAATTACCGGTTTTATGCATTATATGGAACCAAGGCCTGGAATTGGGTATGTTTTACTAG